TTGACGTCCAAACGGGGACAATAGGTGTCAAGCCGCTGGATCTGGAGCTGGCGACATCGCTGCGAAGAGCCCTTATTGGGTGGGGGTTGGAGGGGTCGGGGCGGCGGGGGTGGGCAAAGGTTTCCGCAAGTGAGGGGTGCGTGAGGGTGGGTCGTGCAGTCCCACCTTCTAGAATTCCTTCTGTATGCAGAGCAAGCAAACTCCCACACCCCGAAAGGTCTGAAGACAAGTTGCCACTTCCCCCACAAAACAATCACCTGGTAACCTAGGAGGTCTCTGTAGAACGCGTTTGAAATGAGCAAGATGGATTTTTTTTTTAAGTCTTAAAACTCTGGACTCGTGAAAAATAATATTCAACTCCCTTAAGATGACATGTACTCAACAGGCCTGAGTATTACGAATCAGACTTTTTTCCTTTTGTTTTAGATTTACCTAAAACTTTTAAGAGAATGTTAAATGAAGCCAAGACATCTTTTTTTTTTTTCTCCAAGAGAATTCTTACAGCCTTGTAATAAGGCTGTGGACGGTGAACGAAAAAGAGGCCAAGTGCTGGAAGAAAATGTATTAAAAGGAATATAATCAGTGGAAAAGTCAGCAACATAATGTTGTATGACAACAGTAAATGACCAATTTATAATTTAAATTTCCTGAAAAGGGGATTTAGAAAAGCATTCTACCAAACCACTGTTCCCTGGGGAATAAAATGAGTAATACTGGTTAGCACAGTGTATCCTGAGGGAGCCTAGAGAAATAGCAGCAGCCTGCAGCCTCAAGATACTCCAGTTAACTGCAGTCTGTTATCTATTCATTCAAATATTCATAGAGTACCTAACTATGTCTTAGGAACTCTGTGATGCTAGGGACTGTGAACAAAACAAAAATTTCTATATTCATGGAGCTTACATTGTAAGTGGGGAGAAAAGTAAATAGTGAAGAGGTAGAGAAAAGAAATAGGGTGGCCAGGAAGAGCCTTACTGAGTGACATTTGAGCCAACACTGAAGGAAGTGAGGAAGAAGGTCACGCACTTATCTTGGAGGAAGAATTTTCCAGGTAGAGGGAAAACCAAGTGCCCAGGATCTGAGATGGGAGTGTGCTTGGTGGGTTCAAGGGACAGCAAGGAAGCCACAGTGGCTAGAGCAGAGTAGGAGATGAGGTCAAAGACATAAAAGAGGGCCAGTCAGGGAAAACCTGATAGGCCATTGTAAGGACTTTGGCTTTTACTGAGTGAAATGGGGAGTCACTGCGCGCATAGTCTTAAGCAGAAGAGTAACATGATCAACCTGTGTCTTAAACCCTCTTGCTGCTATATAAAGAATTTACAGTAAGTGTGTATTAGAAGTGAGAGGGAGGGTGGAGCAAGCGCAGAAGCTGGGAGCCCAATTAGGAGGCTGGCGAAATAATCCAGCCCAGAGATGGTGGTGGCCAAGGTCAGAGTGTTACAGTAAAGGTTGTGACAAGTGGTTGGATGTTTTATACGTTATGATAGTAGAACCTAAAGGATTTGCTAACCAGTTAGTTGTGAGTGAAGTCAGAGTGGACCTGAGGTTATTCAAGACTTAAGCACATGAACTGTGCTTGGCACTAAGCTAAACACTATGCTAAGCCTAGGGCTAAAAAGGGAGATTAGAATCCTTCAGCTCCTAGCAGCAATTAGTGTACTCAGCTTGACCACTAATCACTATCAAAATCTCAGACCTCGGGGCTTTCCCGGTGGCGCAGTGGTTAAGAATCCGCCTGCCAATGCAGAGGACACGGGTTCGATCCCTGGTCCGGGAAGATCCCACATGCCACGGAACAGCTAGGCTCATGTGCCACAACTACTGAGCCTGCGCTCTAGAGCCCACATGCCACAACTACTGAGCCTACGTGCCACAACTACTGAAGCCCACGCGCGCCTAGAGCCCGTGCTCCGCAACAAGAAAAGCCACCGCAATGAGAAGCTCGCACACCACAACCAAGGGTAGCCCCTGCTTGCCGCAACTAGAAAAAGCCTGAGGACAGCGATGAAGACCCAACGCAGCCATAAATAAATAAATAAATAAATAAATAAATAAATAAATTTAAAACAATCTCAGGCCCCACCTCAAATCGACTGAGGTAAATCTGCATTTTAACAAGCTCCTCAGCCAATTTGTATGCCTGGTGAAGTTTGGGGGGAAAAACAATTACTGCTTTATTAGAACTTGATCACTGTCTTTAAGATCAGACATGAACTACACTACCAGACAAATTCTTCCCAAACCTATAGAATCAAAAATTCTGAGGGTAAAACCCAGCAATCTGTGCCCTCTAGGTGATTCTGATGCCAGCTAAAATATGAGAACCAATAACTTGCCAACCTTTGGTGACTCAGGTTTGAGCTGAAGAGGCCTTGTGATTAGGTGTTAAGAAGGAAAGGCCTTTTCTGCCTTTCTTTTGCACATTATGAAATAGTAGTTACTGAAACAAAGATTCTGGCCAGTTAAATTAGGCTTGAAGAAAAGAGAAAGTGCATTGTTGAGAGGGAGCAGGATGACAACACAGATGATGAAGACTCGGGGTTCATCTCACAGCTGACAGTATATCAAGATAGGCTAGGTTATGCTGCAGTAACAATCCTGAAACCTCTGTGCCTTAAAATAGCGATCTGCAAAATATGGTCCCTGGGCCAAGTGGCCCTCTGTCTGCTTTTGTAAATAGTTTGGGGATGGGGGAGATACATCCATTCATGTACATATTTTTTCATGGCCGATTTCATGCCACAGGACAGCAAAGTTGAGTAGTAGTGATAGAGACATTATGATGGGCAAAACCTAAAACACTATCTCACCCTTTACAGAAGAAGTTTGCCAATCCCTGGCTTAAAACAAATGATACACATCCATCATGTTTCAGCAGAGGGCTCTGCTCACAGCACTCAGATTCAGGCTGATGGAAAAACCATATCTCAAGTGTTGCTGATTACTATGCCACGAGAAAAAAGAACTCAAGCGTTTCTCTAGTCAATTAAACACTCCAGACAGGTAGACTTGTGTCTTGTGTGCTGGCACCTTATTAGCCAGGAAGAGTCACATGAACCCATCCAACCAAGAGATGCTATCCTATCAGATGCCTGGAAGGGAACCAGGTGAACCAGAAATACTTGGTGGACATACACAGCTGTTGTGCTCTCACTTCCTACAATATGTTATCCCAATCCCATGTCCTTAGTTTTCTGACATTCTTGTAGTTGTTTATTCAGGTCAACAGGTCCAGGAAGACAACAAATTTAAGGCAAAGCAGTGTCTTTAACTTCTGCCCAGCCCTGTGCCATGGTCCCAGCAAACCAAATTTGTCTATTTCCCATCTGACAAAAAGGCGACTAAAGCTATGTTTATGTGAATTTTTAATACTTTCTCTTTTTGCCTTTTTTTCCCACTACAAAGCCATGTGGTACTTGGGGTCACTGTATCACTGAAGAAATAGGAAAATTAAAGGGTTTTCCCAGCAAACCAGTGGGAGAGCAGAATATGTAAGTGGAAAACACTTTCTCCAAAAACCTTGGTATTAAAGTTATACCCAATATATTGATATTTTAATAACACAAATCTCCCAAGTTGACATTCACTTGTTTGGAGATATTTATAAATTGTCACAACTTGAGGGGAAGGTGCTACTGACATCTAGTGGGTGGAGGCCAAGGATGCTTCTAAACATCCTGCAATGCACAGGACAACACAGAATTATTAAGGCCAAAATGCCAATAATGCTGAGGTTGGGCAACTCTGTTTTATGAGACCAAAAATATGGTCATTTGTTCCAGCACTTCACAAGTAAAAATATTGAGATGACACTGGCAGAAAAAATAATCCTTAGAAAGCGTGACAGGACGTAACACTGAACTGGGAACAGAGAATCATCTTGCATCCTAGCAACTGATGCACAGTCATGATCTCTTTCAGGCAATATATAGTATATATATTCATTTCATCCACTAATACGTACAGTCCACTTCAAACAATAATCGAAGAAAAAGAATTTACTTCAAAGTGACAACTGACTAACAAACTTTAGAAGGAATAAAACTATATATCTCAAAGTTACATACTAGGAGAATATAAGTATATTATAAAGGTACTTTATTCAGGACTGTTTCTACAATTAGGATGTATTGTTCAAGAATAACTTTCACATCTAAAAGAACAACTCCCCCTGCATTAATGGTTTACCCTTCAGGCGTTAATAACATTTTTTTTTAATCTTGAGAGTCTAAGAACTTGATTTAAAGATTTCCTAAGCACTAAGACACTAAATTAAAGACATGAAAAATGTTCCAGAAAGGTGTAGGTCCCGTGTTACTTTTTTTTTTTTAATTGTATAGATTTTCCAGGGAGGGTCGGCTTTGCAAAGGGGAGAGGTCGGCAAGCCCCACCCTAATTCCTCTGGCTTTTTGCAGTGTTTCTCAAAGGAAGCAAGCCCCCACTTTCAGAATCACCTGGGGCACTTGTGAGAATGAAGATGACCAGACTCCACCCCAGATATTGCATCTACAAACCAGAATCTGAGACCTAGGAATATGTGTTTTAAAAATCAAATTCCTCTTTGCACATTCAAGTTTGTGAATAGAAATGGGGCATTTATTTTCACAAAAATAAGTGCCATAAATGTTTAAACAAAAATAGCTCTTTTCATGATGTCCTCTTATCTTTCTTCCCAGGAAGTGCTGTGAGGATCTCTTACAAGGGTATTGTTGGCAATTGCCAGACACATTGAAAAGGGCCACACACTTGAGTTGCTATTCAGAAAGGAGCAATCGGATTCCAAGATGGGAGAGAAAA